GAATGGTCAACGAAGCCCAAACCGTCGGAAGGGATTCAGACGTCGCTGGCCGATCGCTTCACCCAGCTCCACCATGCTGAGAACGCATGGAAGAAAAAGGTGACTTTTTTTTTTTTTCTTCTCTCCTTCTTGCCGAAACACGACGTGAGCCGTGAGTTTAGGTTTCCGGGCAAACGGCTTCAGAAGCGACCGTAAGTGTCCGAGGGCTTTGCTGTGTCGGCTTTTTGGGGCCTTGTCAGGACTAGTGCGGACTTGGCTGTGGAAAAAGAAAATTGGCAGCGTGTTGTGAAATCTAAATCGACCAACATCATAAGTGAACATGGCCGGCCTGTCAAAGCGCCGCGTGCGCCTTGGGCCCCGCTGGGAGATGACGGCGGCGCAAGAGCGACGCTCTGCTGCAAATCTCTGCCGATTGGTTGTTGCCTAGTTGGAGGAAATAAAGATGCCTTGGCTGTCTGCCGTTCGCCGCAGAGGCAAGAGAACGGGGGGAGAGAAAAATGTTGCCCATGTGGACACTGACAGCTTCAAGGTCGATCAATCGATCGCAAGCGCGCCTCCGTTTCCCCTGGATTTCCTCTCCTCCTTCCTCATGCACTTGTTCCATTCTAATGTTTTCCTGTGTTCATCCCCCCACTTTTTCCTCCCGCCACCTTTCCTCCCCGCTGGCCCCCCTCACATCTGTCGCTCCCTAGCACCAGACTCCACCCCTTTCTCTGACTTTGAATCCTGCCTGTCAACCTTTCCCGGTGTCTCGAGGTGAGTGGACAACACGCGTCGTGCGCCCCCGAAAGTGGTGGAGCCCGGGTAGCGCCTTTTGGAAAACATTTCCCATGAGTTCTTGTTTTTGTGATGCCGCCGTCACCAAAAGCAGGGGCGGGGAAACGTGCCCTCATCTGATGCCACGTTGACCTGGGCTCGGCTGCCTCGTCCTCGCCAAAAGGTCAGCCGGCCCCTCGATTATGCCTCGATAGCTCGTGATGAAGAAGGGGGCGGCTGTAAAAAAAAAACGACTTTGTTTGACTCAAATCATTTAGCTGGCGGTGAAAGGAATGATCACGTGTTGAATTTGATCATCTCGTGGCAACGGGGCGTTGGTTTAACTCAGCCGTTACTGCCGCTTACTGAAGAATTGTGACCGCGAGCTCCATCTCCACCATCTGTCGCTGTAGGTCTCCACC